CTCCTATGGATGTTTTTAGCTCTGCACATTCAAACCAGATACAAAACAAACACCAGGGGTGTGGAACAGATACTGAAAAAGTGTATGCAGGATTACCTGCAAGAAAATTGCTGTATTGGGGCTGGGGTTGTAGCTCAGTGGTAGAGTATGCGCCTTGCACATATGAGGCACTAGGTTCGATCCTCAGCACCACATAAAAATAAAGGTATTATTGTGTCCATCTACAACTAAAAAAAAAATTTTTTTTTTAAATCGCTGTAAAAATTCTGGTAAATCCTTTGGTTTTAGCTAATCATATTCTCTAAGGTTCAAAGAAAGAGATGGGAGACAGAAAATAATTGTTATTGGCTTAAAATTAGGATTCACAAAGGGGATGAACTGTCTTTAGGATTCTATGGAAAGTCACTTTGATCACAGTGGAGTCTTCCAGGTAAAGAGAGGGAGGAGTGAACACAGTGGGGACCTAGGGGATCCATAAGCCCAGCCTTAAGCCTGGGATGGACTTTATTTATTTTTATATTTATTTATTTGTTTATGTTTGCAGTACTGGAGTTGAACCCAGGGGTGCTCTACCACTGAGCTACATCCCCAACCCTTCTTATTATTTTTTTTTTTTATTTTGAGACAGGGCCTGTGCTAAGTTGCTGAGGCTGGCCTCGAACTCACTATCCTCCTGCTTCAGCCTCTGAGTCACTGGGATTACAGGTGTGTGCCCTGGTACCCCAGTGGAATGGACTTTTAAAGGGTTGTAACTGGAACTCTCATTTTATAACTGTGAAGAGGAAAGCTCCAGGAGGTTGAGTGACTGCTAGTTAGTTAGCAGTAGAGTCCAGACAGGCTCTGGGTTCCCCACTCTTTCTACCCCATGATCCAGGAATCTCTTTAGAATTCATTCCTTTTTTCTCCTATTTGAACCAGTGAGGAAAAAAAGACCGAGAGAGCCTGAATTGAAGCATTAAAAAAAAAAAAAAATCAAAACACCTAGAGTAAAGTGATCCTGGAAAGAGGTGAAGAAGGTAATTACAGAGGCTGGAATTAGCAGCGCCCAGGAAAAGATACCATCTTATCTAAGGCAATTAAAGTAAGCAGGCAATTAAAGGCTTTTGTTATTTGGGTCGGAGGTTTACAAGGCTGTGAAGCAGCAAGCTTTCTGAAAGCCACAGTCAAATCAGGACCCAGAAAGTGCAGGCTTCTAACTCCCAAGGAAAAGTCCAGGGTGAGACAAAAGATTCTTGTTTTTATATTTGACATGGAAAGAACCAAAGAAGCAAAGCAAGGTGTGAGCTGGCTCCCCGTCCTGTCCCAGGACCCAGGAAACTCAGAGTCCACCTCCTGGGTCTCTGTGACTTGTCCCAAGGGGCTTTGGTTTTCATGTCCATGTGTAAACCAGAAGAACTCCCTATAAGGAGGTAAGGGGGTGTTAACATTCCAGTAACGAAAGACAAACTCATTTGGAACTGGTTGAGTCACTACTGTCCTGGCCCCTTCCCCTGCCTAACCAGCTTATCTCCTCTCTCCTCCTTTTACCTCTCTCCTCCCCACTGCCTCTCCTCCTCCTTCCCTTCCCTGAGCAGAAACAACAAACTACAAATTCTTCCCCTGCAGAGACCTGGACCCTGCTATCAAGGGCTCAGGCTCCCTGCAAGCTCATCAAAGTCCTCTCCCAAGGAGACAGTTCCCTCCTTCCCTAAGTGGAACTATGGAGCCAGCTGTTAAGATTTTTAAAAATTGGCATGTGCACTGTGTGTCTTTACACAAGACTGAAATCTTTGAGGTTTAAAAGAAGATAGTACTCCTTTTTAATTGTCCTGTTTTGTATGGAATTGTATTATCAGAATTCATAGTAATGCAGATTATACAACTTTTATAAGAAGTCTTAGAAATCCAAAAGCATTAGCAATCCAATCTAAGCTTTATTCCCATTTTTTGCCAATCATTCACACAAAAAAAGTGGTTAGGTGGGGCGGTTGTAAGCACCGCAGCCCCTGGGGATCTTGTCTAGAATTGAGAGCAGAAGAGAAAATCAGCTGCCCTTTCAAACTCACACCTATTAAATAATGTACTCCATGCAAGCTCACAGCAGTGTGTGCACACTGGAAACCGTTTCCCTGAGGGCATTTCCTTTTAGACAGACCCTCCTATCTGCAGGCTCTAAGTAATGATAGGCGAAAAGGGAAGATGACAGCTGTGGCCCCGGGGAGATGGCTTAAGGAATATTCTTTGTACTCTTTTATGCTTGGGTGCTTTCTTCTCTTCCAGACCTTTCCATTTGACAAAGCCTTATCTTCTCCACCTATCACACACACCTTTTTCCCATGACAGGTGCAAGGAGTCTTCAAGTGTCTGATCTCAGATAATCTCCTGGCCAGGGCTTGGGGACACGTCACTCTCATCCCTGCCTTTAGCACAGCTGTTTCTCTAGTTTCTCCTGAGATCTTCCTCCATAAACCTGTCACAATTCTGTGGGAGCCTTCTATCACATTCATGAGCTTCTCCATTGGACTCACACCTGGGCTGTGTCTACCACAGTGAGTGGCCTCCACACTCTACTCCCTGGTGTCCTTAGGACCCCATGCTGGATTTCCTCAATGCCCCTTTCCTCTTGCCCCAGGCCCACAGGCAGCATTTCCTTATTTCACAGTCCTCTTGCCTGGCCCAGGCTGCTTGTCTCCTCGGAGCTCTGCAGCCTTGGTGGGGACCAGCGGCCACCCTGTGGAGGAGGGGCTGAGCCACACGCAGCCCGGCAGCCTGAACAGGAGACTTGTCACAGGCAAGCGTGGCACAGACATGAGCCAAAGATCATGGCATGCTTCTGGGGGATTCCATTCTGTCTTATGCTCTTTATCAACACTCCTAAATATATCATGATGTTAAAATTAGCATATTTACAAAAACAAAGCAAGTAGATGGATACAATCATGCACTTCCTTTACGAACAGCAGATTGTTCTCTCTCTTGGTTTCATTTACCCTGGTTTCCTTTTCAGTCTCATTAGCACAACTTTTCACTTTTTAATCTATATGAACATTTTAACTTAAGCAATCTGCTAGTGCTTGACAGAGGGTTAATGTCAAGAGCCCACGGGGATGGCTTCTGGTTGGCCTTTGGTGTTTGTTCTTTTTTTTTTTAGAGAGAGAGAGAGAGAGAGAGAGAATTTTAACATTTATTTTTTAGTTTTTGGCGGACACAACATCTTTGTTTGTATGTGGTGCTGAGGATCGAACCCGGGCCGCACACACGCCAGGCGAGCGCGCTACCGCTTGAGCCACATCCCCAGCCCTGGTGTTTGTTCTTGAAGCAGGAGAATGGTTTGTCTGTGCTGATGATTTGTAAGCATGCATCGCCATCAACTTTAAAAAATATATATTTATTTTTTAGTTTTAGGTGTACACAATATCTTTATTTTACATTTATGTGGTGCTGAGGATGGAACCCAGTGCCTCGCGCATGCTAGGCGAGCGCTCCACCACTGAGCCACCACCCCAGGCCCACCATCAACTCTTACTGTCCCTCACATTCTGTTTTCCTGGACTTGTCTCCTGCTCCGTGTTTAACAGGGGTAGAGGCCAGGCAGAAGTGCTTTGTAATGGCCTGTGTGATAAGCCTCATAAAGTTATTTTTCTCAATTAATGGTTTCATCGACAATTTTATTGCTTTGCTCTAACTTCCCAAATCCCTTGGGCATCCTATCTGCGATAAGGTTCCGCCAGTCCAACAAAATGGGCCCTTCAGAATACAGACTGATATATTTTAAGAAGTTTCTCTCTCTCTCTCTCTCTCTCTCTCTCTATTTTTTTTAACATAATACTTAAAAAACATTTAAACAAAAAGTAATAGGGCTTTAAAGCAGAGCTCTAAAAGAGATTTATTCATGAGTACATGCGTACTAGTCTCCACACTGACATCACTTTATATTGATTTTCCTTGAGTGTGCATTCTCTGCTTTTCCCTAAATCTTAACTACTGTATAAGAACTTTTTATTGCATGCTTCCTTCTACTTTGCTCCAAAAACTCTTATGATGTGCTAAAAGGGATCCATTAGGGTTCAGAACTGCAGTTTGGGGAGGTTTGCAGTGAATCAATCATACCCCTTAATCACAATTGCTGACTTGATTAGGGTAGTGGATGAGCTATTTTTTTCTTTAGAGAGAAAACAAAACTTATTAACTTATTTTTCTGGAGTTATTTTATTTATGTATGTACTGGGAGGATCAAACCCAAAAGCATTCTATCTTTGAGCTACATCACCAGTTCTATTTCGCCAGCGGTGGGAGTGGTTACAAGGGATTGAACCCAGGGGCCCTTAACCACTGAGCTACATCCCCAGCCCTCTTTATTTTTTGAGAGGTCTTGCTAAGTTGCTAAGGGCTTCCCTAAGTTGCTGAGGCTGGCCTTGACTTTATGATGCTCCTGCCTCAGACCCTGGAGTCTCTGGGATTATAGGCATGTGCCCCTCCCAATACCAGTTCTTTTTATTTTATTTTGAGACAGGTTCTCACTCAACTGTAGACTGGCTTAGAACTCGAGACCCTCCTGCCTTGGCCTCCGGAGTTGCTAGAGGAGTAACTTTAAATGTACTTCCATAACCAAGCCCTGCTGGCACCAGGAGAGCTATGTAAAGCATAGCTTTCTCTCAGGTCAGGGGACTTTCACTCTAGAAAGCAGCAATTTCTGGTGGCCCCCTGCTCCCTGCCCCCAAGAACTCATGGCAGAAGAAAGGACCAACAATAATACACTCCTGCACATTTCGCAAAGCATTTTCACACGCATCAGCCTCTTTAAATAAAAAACAAAAAAAAAGAGGAGAAGATAGAAACTCAGAAAGATTACATATATCTTCAAGGTCTAATAGCTAGAATGTGGGTTTGTGTCAGAGACCAGGATTGAAACAGCCCCCTGACAATTCTGACTTAAAAACAAATTCAATGTCACAAACAGGATTAGAATCCAGCAATTTTCATAACATTGTGGCGGTGAATCTTTTCTAAGCAATACTTACCAGGAAATGTGCTTTTCTTGGCCTAGCTCTGTCCTGCAATTTATTTTTCTTATCCTGTGACTGTCGGCTAAAATCTGGGATCATTTCATTTCTTTTCTTTCTTCTGTAAATTGGAAAGCAGTGGAAACATTATAAATTAATATTTTAAAACTTTGGCGGTCCATAGAGCTATTTGATTTCGTTGTCCCTGTGATTTCAAAGGTTGTCTGCACTCCACTGGAAGCAAGCCACACGTCTATCAACAGAGAAGGGGGTGAATGAAGGTTGGCATACCCACACAATGGAGTACTATGAGCTATCAAACAGAAGCAGAATATTTCTATATACAACTGTAGAATGACTGCCAGGATACAGTGTTACCTGAAGAAAGAAAAGTGAATAAAGAAAGGTGAATGTAAGGGCTGTGGCTGTGGCTTAGTGGTAGCACACTTGCCTGGTATGTGTGGGGTGCTGGGTTCGGTTCTCAGCACTGTATATAAATAAATAAAATAAAGGTCTATCAACAACTAAAAAACAAAAATTTAAAAAAAAGAAAGGTGAATGTATTGTATGCTACCATTCATTTCAGAAAGGAGATATATGAAAATAAGTGTGTATGTTATCTATTTGCTTATTATGCTTTTTATTTTTTAAGATTAAAGAAAATGTTTTGTTGTTGATGTAGATGGACAGAATATTTTTATTTTATTTATTTTAATGTGGTGCTGCTGAGGATCTAACAGTGCCTTACACATGCTGGGCAAGGACTCTGCCACTCAGTGACTCTGCCACTAAGCTACAGCCCCAGCCTCTATTCTTAAAGTTATTATTATTAATAATATTTTGCTTGTACTTTGTTAATGGAAGAATCAAACTATAAAATTTTTTAAAAATTTCTAGCTATAAGTAGGATTCTCATGTCAACTGATCAGGAACAGGGAATATGGAAAACAGGGACAGAAACTAAACTATGTCATTTATATCTTATTTTGCATATTTAAGGTTGGAACCATCTAAATTTTTCTCAAATTTATGAGCAAAAGTGAACGGGAAAAAAATCCCTAAGATTTATTAAAAAAAAAAGAAAAATTATCTTGCCCATGAGGTCGATGGCATTACCACACACACAGAGTTATTTCATGGGACTTTAACACAGTCATCTGTCTGAGTATTCTTAGTAGAGTGTATACTAAAGACAAAAACATAGGCAAGGAAATCATAAACTGTTTTCAGTATTCACACTGTTAGTATTATTATTAGCACTGGTTTCTAAAAGTACCACACACATGAGGATGAAGCAGAGGTTGTCAAACCGCAGCCCACAGGCCAAATCCAGTCTGCTTCCCATTTCTGTAAACAAAGTTTTATTGGCACATAGCCATGCTTCTTTTTTCGTATCGTCTATGACTGTTTTTAGGTTATAAGAGCAGAGTTGACAAAGGCCAGATGTTCTCTATGATCATGCAGATGCTGACTCACCATAGGTGGGGTGGGGGGGTGTTCACCGATTGGTCAGGGCAGAGTGGGGGAAGGGAGAGAGATGGGAATGGGAAAGACAGTAGAATGACATCACTTTCCCATGTTCATGTGTGAATACATGACCAGTGTCACTCTGCACCGCGTACAACACAAGAATGGGAAGTTACACTCCTGACCATCTGCATGGCCAACCACAGAGGACAGAGGACACGTTAAGTAGCACAGCGGCAGTGAAATCCCCAAAACCCAGAATGTGAGAAGCTCTACAGGACAAAAGGCCTGATTTCTATAACAGGATGGATGAAACCATATGACTTAAGATTTGTCTCAAAAATAACCCATGGGAGGAGCAGAGTGGGCAAGGAACAAGTGAAACTAGAGTGCACCAGAGTTGAAAACTGCTCATGCTAGACATTGGTTGCAGGGGTTTGTTTTCTCTTCTCTCTACTTGTGTATGTATTGCAATGGTGCACACCTATAATCCCAGGGTTTGGGAGGCTGAGGCACAAGGATCACCAGTTCAGAGCGAGCCTCAGCAACTTAGTGAGGCTCTAAGCAACTCAGTGAGACCTTGCCTCAAAATAAAAAAGGGCTGAGGGTGTGGCTCAGTGTTTGAGTGCCCCAGGTTCAATCCCAAGGACCAAACATAAATAAATAAATAAACATTGCCTTTGCCCGAATATTTCCTGCCACTTAATTTTCAAAAAAATTTCCTAACTTTTGTTTTGTTTTTGTGTGTGTATATGTGGCAATGGACACCTCCAGCCCCTTTTACAATTTTTTATTTTGAGACAGGGTATCGCTAAATTGCTCAGGCAGGCCTAGAACTTGCGATCCTCCTGCCTCTGCCTCCTGAGTCGCAGAGATCACAACCAAGCTGACTCAGTTTACCTTATGTTACATACGTGAGTACCTCCCTCTCATTTACCCACTGGCTGTGGCAGAAGGGAAATACCAGGGTGAGAAGGGGGAGGCTAGAATGCGCCCCAAGGTGCTGGCTTGCAATTTAACATTGAAACATGAAAAGGCTGCAGGGTGGGGTTGTTACAGCAACAAGATGCAAAGAACCACCATGAACAGGGCAAATGTGCAAACGATGGATAGTTTACTTTTCCAATGACCTCTTGCTCCAATGTATTGGAAAGCTTTGGTATTTCACAGTAAGTTCTATTCTCATCTTTTAAAATACCTAAGTACCAAGGAGAGTTCCTTACCCTTGCCCTGGCTGGAGGGGGTTGCAGTTGTCCAGATAGTTAAACCGAATGATATCAGTTGGATGCTTATCAGAGGACCTCCAAGGGGGCAGCTCTTTCTCCCCTAGGTTATTCTTCTTTCTTAAAGAGGTGGAAGGACGAAAGGTCGATGAAGGGCACTGCTTCTGCTCTGGAGAACTGCTTGAAAGTGACCGAACATCCGCAACTATAAATGTTTCTTTTGGAGGTGTCTAGAAAAAGAAAACATTATTTCTGTTATTGAAGCACTGTAATAGTAATGATAACAATAAAACAAAGCGTATCATCTCATCATGACCCATCTTATCACCACCACCATCAGCATGACCCTGTGGGGATCACAGCAGTCCCCATGTGGGAGTGCCAAGCACAGTCTTGGTAGTTTTCAAGCATTGTGCTATTTAACCTTCATAGTCATTTTATCAGGAAATCCATTTTACAGAAGAGAAAACTGAAGATAGGAGCAAACAATTAATTTGTCAGCATAACATTAAGCAGACTTTGAATTTGAACCCAGGACCTGTCTTCCTTCAAGCCCACACACCAAACCTCCTTCTCTTACACTGAGGGATCTTCTGTCATTTCATTGTCTGGTTTGTTACAACTGCAGTTAATTTATTCACAAAAAAGACACATTAAAAAAATAAGTAAAGGTGAGCTGGATGTTGTGGCACATGCCACCAGGGAGGCTGAGGTAGGAGGACTGCAGGTTGCAAGTTAGAGTCCAGCCTGGGCAGCTTAGCAAGGCCCTGTCTCAAGATAAAAATTTTTAAATAGAAAGAAAAAAAATAAAAGGGGTGTGTGGGGTTAGGGTTGGGATGTAGCTCAATGGAAGAACACTTGCCTAGCCAGAGGAAGGTCCTGGGGTCAATCCCTAGCACCACAAGAAAAGAGAAAGAGAGAGATATAAAAAGGGTGCTCCAGCTCCAAAGACCTCCTCCAACAGAGACAATGTCAAGTTGCACAGGAGCAGACTATAGGTCCTACAGATCTTATTACCCAAACCTCAGCTACTCCCAAAGGACACCTCTGCTTAATTTCCAGAATTGAAAGTCTGTCTTCTGTGCATGAAATTCATAAGTTCTTATGTGATTGCAGCCTAAGGGGAGTGGTCCGGTATGTTGGGAAGCCACTGAGAACTTAATTTTTGTTCATTAAGAGATTAGGGAAGCTTTGCTTGGGAAATCAATTTTTTTTTTCACTTGTTTGTGAACATCAAGAAATTCTCCATTTGGGACTGGGGATGCGGCTCAGTGGTAGAGCCTGCTTAACATGCTCAAGGGTCTGGCTTCAATCCCCCACATGTGCACACACAAAAGAAAGAAGTTCCCTAGTCCCTCTAAGCATAATCAATTAATTACTCATTGCTTCAAATGTTCTTAGTATACATTTCCACTACAGAACAACACTCAGTACTCAGTGTTGCAAATGAATTGTTTATTTGTATATGACCTGGGCTACTAGACCAAGATCTGTAAAAACAGGATTAGGATATTTTCACTCTTAGCACCTACCAAATAATAGTGTTTAGTAAATATTTACTCACTTAATGAATGATTATAGCTTTGTAGAAAATTAAGAAGACATTTTTATATAACTGACAGCTCTTTATTGGTTTAATATTAAATATATTTTTTAATATCTTTATTTTATTTGTTTATTTATTTACTTTTTTTAATGTGGTGCTGAGGATTGAACCCAGGGCCTCTCACATGCTGGGCGAGCACTCTACTGCTGAGCCACAGCCTCAGCCCCTAATACTAAATATTTTGTGCAGGTCTCATTTAGAATGGACATTCATTTTATTTCTCTGAGCTTCTTTTTTAAAAAAAAATCTTTATTTTGTTTATTTTTGTGTGTGTGGTGCTGAGGATTGAACCCAGTGTCTCACATGTGTGAGGCAAGCGCTCAACCACTGAGCCACACAACCCCAGCCCTCTCTGAGCTTCTTTTGAAATAAACTCATCTCTTTTTGCTGGAGGAGATCTAGTTTAATGCTATTGGAAATAGATAATACACGGCACTAAAAAATACCTTCAGAGCAAAACATCCAAGTATAAATGCTAATAATTATATATAAAATCATAAATTCTGAAAAGTACAAAATGCTTGACACTTTAATAAAACAGGTAATAATGAAATCTATGACAATTTTTCTGTATGAAAGAAACCAAATTTTTGCTCACATCAATTGAAGTCTCTCTTTCTTTTTCTTTTTTTGGTTGGGGATTGAACCCAGGGCCTCACACATGCCAGGCAAGTGCTCACTACTACTGGGCTACATACATTCCCAGGATCCTCAGGATGAAGTCTTTTTCCCCCCAATGTTGGTGTTTTTATTTGTTTGTTTGTTTCAGGTTTATTAGTTCTTTCTAGGTATACATAGCAGCAAAGTATATTTTTTTTAATTCTAATTTGTTATATATGACAGCAGAATGCATTACAATTCATATTATACATACAGAACACAATTTTTCATATCTCTGGTTGTATACAAATTAGAGTCACACCATTCGTGTCTTCATACATGTACTAGGGTAATGATGTCCATCTCATTCCACCATCTTTCCTACCCCCATGCCCCCTCCCATTCCCTCCCTCCCCTCTGCCCTATCTAGAGTTCGTCTAATTCTCCCATGCTCCCCCCACAACCCCACTATGAACAGCCTCTTATATCAGAGAAAACATTCTGCATTTGTTTTTTGGGGGATTGCAGAATGGGAGAAGATCTTTGTCACCTTTGTCCCATTAGTTTCCAGGGGATATAAAGAACTCAAAAAAACTTAACACCAAAAATAACAACAACAACAATAATAATAATCCAATCAATAAATGGGCAAAGGAACTGAACAGGCACTTCACAGAAGAAGAAATATGAATAGTCAACATATATATGAAAAAATATCAATATCTCATATCTATTCAATATGTTGACTATTTCTTCATGATATGTTCTCTATTTCTTCATGATAAATGGAGGTTGAATTTTATTAAATGATGTATTAAAATGATCATTTTTATTCTGTGAATTACACTAGTCATTTTTCTTTATTGTTAGGAACCTGACTTTCCATGGACATATCCCACTTGGCTTTCAGGTATTCTTCTTTTTGTGAGGCCTGGATTTAATTTGTTGATATCTTGGAAGGATCTTTGTGTCTGTGTTCATGGAACTGAACTATCGGTCTGCATTTCTGTTTCTCTTATAGATTTTGGTTTTGGTGTAAGGGTTGAATGCTTTCCCTCATCCTCTGTTTTCTGAAAGAGGCTACATTGAATTGGTCTCATTTCTTAATTGTTTGAGACAATTCACTAGTGGAGCTCTCTGATCTGGAGTTTTGTGGAAAGTTTTACAATTATGAATTCAATTTTATTTATTTTTTTTAATTTATTTATTTTCTCTAATTTGTCAGAAATTACAGTAGAATGCATCTCAATTCATAGTACACACATAGAGCACAATTTGTGATGCCTCTGGTTGTTCACAAAGTAGAGTCATACCATTAAATCAATATATAGGTTTATTTGTATTTATTTGTGTTTTCTATTACTTTTTTTAAGTTTTTAGATGTATATGAACTGAATACATTTATTTTATTTATTTTTATGAGGTGCTGAGGATGGAACCCAGTGCCTCACACATGCTAGGCAAGTGCTCTGCCACTGAGCTACAACCCCAGCCCTCTATTACTTATTGAGTCAGGGTTATATGCATTTTCCAAGGATTTCACCCGTTTCATCGAGGTTGGTGAATTTAGTGACCTGAAGGTTTTTAAAATAATCCCTTGTTATACTTTTAATGTTTGTAGGACCTGTCGTGGTGTTCTGTCTTTCCTTCCTGATCCTAGTAATTTGTGTTTTCTCATTTTTTCTTGATTAATCTAGCTAGAAATGTATCAATTCCATTTATGTTTGTGAGAACCAGCTTGGATTTTTGTCTATTGTCTATTTTCAATTTCATTCATTCTAGTTCTTTATTATCTCTTCCTTATATTTACTTTGGGTTTGATTTACTCTTCTGGAAATTAAGTTTTCTAGGGGGCTGGGGCTGTAGCTCAGTGGCGGAGTGCTTGCCTAGCATGTGTGAGGCACTGGGTTTGATCCTTAGCACCACATAAAAATAAATAAAATAAAAGCATTCTGTCCATCTACAACTAAAAAATTTAAAAAAAAAAAAGAAATTAAGTTTTTTAGCATAGGTAGTCTCACAGACAGTTTTAAGGATCCTTCTCATTTTAAGGTTGGTGAAACTATTATTAACCATCCCCATATGATTCTAACCTGCTTTCAAAATCTCTGCTGGAGCTCACCAAGCTGCCATGCTCAGGGCTGAAGCAGGGAATTAAACAGATTATGCAAGTACAGTATGTGTTATGTAAGTACAGTGCTGGGAGTTAACTTCACAGACAATCTTATTAACTTTAGAACTTCTTTCAGCTTTAAGTCTCTTTAATTGAACAATCCAAGTTAATTAGTTGATTTTCTGAACTCCCCCCCAGTCTTTCTAATTTAGTACTGTTTATTTAAAAAAAAAAAATTCACAGAACAAAGCATTCCCTACTTCTGATTTAGTACTATTTCTTTAACAAAAAAAAAATTAAGTTTCATAGAACAAAGCATTCCCTGCAGAAATGTAATACCAAGCAGAGAGGTGGCAATTTTCTTGCACCCAAACTATTCATTATTTTGAAGCATAGTTATGCATAAATATTTTGTGGAGTTATTCCTGAAGACAAAACTGTGCTCTTTTTACATGTAAGACTCAAAAGCCCTTTTCACTCTACTAGATGGTTAATCACTTTTCTCTTCTCACAGAGCAGCCTGAGTTCCACTATTTAATGTCACTCCCTGCTCCAAAATGGAGGATTTCAGAAAGCTTGATGAGGAAAGGAACATAGGTATGGTGATTTTGGGGGGAGGGGGTACCAGGGATTAAACTCAGGGGCACTTGACCACTGAGCCACATCCCCAGCCCTTTTTTGTATTTTATTTAGAGGCAGGGCCTCACTGAGTTGCTTGGGGCCTCTCTAAGTTGCTGAGGCTGGCTTTGAACCCATGATCCTCCTGCCTCAGCCTCCTGAGTCACTGGGATTATATGTGTGCACCATCATATCCAGCCTTACTTACTTTTTATGAGTAATAAAAATTACTCATAAAAATAAATGTCTACATTGCTTACTTTCTGGATTAAAGACAACTTTAATAGGCCATTGTGCTCTTCCCTAATGATCAATTTATTAGAAAACTTGCTCTTACAAATGATACCAAATAAACTTCAGGGTTGGGGGTGTAGGTCAGTGGTAGAGCACTTGCCTAGCAAGTATGAAGCCCTGGGTTTGAGCCTCAGCACCACATAAAAATAAATAAATAAAATAAAGGCAATGTGTCCATCTATAACTAATAATAATTTTTTAAATGATTCAGGAACTTTATTATAAATGTTGTACATAGTAGAAAAAGCAGAATAGCAAGGTTCCAAATGCATCAGGCAGCCAAAAATTCAAATTCAAATAGAGGACCTTAAGGAATTTGTAAACTACACTGGATTCCATTTACAGTGTGTCCTTGAGTGCCTCAGAGTGAAACATATTTCAACTCAAGCAGCTGTACAGAACTAGAAAACTTCATATGACAATATTAAATTAATTTATTAAAATTAATTTAACAATAATAGTTTTAATTTAAAGTTAATTTTAACTGAAGGTTAAAAACAAAGTATATACAATGGTTTATATTCTATTTAATGTAATTCATATACTATAAAATTCATCACTTTAAGTACACATTCAATGATTTTTGTTATATTTACATACTTGTGCAATCATCCCCATAGTCTTATTTATTTTTTTTTTTTAGAATTTTTTTTTTTAATATTTTATTTTTTTTTTAGTTTTCGGCAGACACAACATCTTTGTTTGTATGTGGTGCTGAGGATCGAAGCCGGGCCGCACGCATGCCAGGCGAGCGCGCTACCGCTTGAGCCACATCCCCAGCCCCCATAGTCTTATTTTAAATCATTTTCATCACCACAAAAACAAAATCTCATATACCTATTTGTAGATACTTTCCAAACCAAGATAACTAACAAGCTTTCTGTATTTATATATTTGCCTTTTCTAGATCTTTCATATAGGTCAAATTTATAAAAGGAATTCATATAATAATAAAATTTTTTAAGTTAAAAAAATACTGGGGAGCCTGGCATGGAAGCACACACCTGTTGTAGGTAGTAAGAGCCATCCCAGAACAAAGGGAAGGTAACATAACACAGTCAGTGTCTATGTGTGCCTATAACACAATTTTCACAACTCTAGAGTATAGAATACCCAATCAGAATGTTTGTTATCCTATAGGGGAGACAAAGGGGCTAACATAAAGGGAAGGACTAACAGAGTATATAAGGCTACGTCTCACTGTGCTTGGGGCTCAGCCTTTGGATGAGAATTTGCTGGGCCAATGCCAGCACTAATAAACACTGCTTCCTGCTGAGAGCCCCTGTGCTCTCTGTGAAAAACCCACAACGCTGTGATCCCAGCAACTCTGGAAGCTGATGGAGGAGGATCGTAAATTCAAAGGCAGCCTCAGCAATTTGGAGGTCCTAAGCAACTTATTGAGACTCTGTGTCAAAATAAAAATAAAAAGGGCTGGGGATGTGGCTCAGTGGTAAAGTGCCCCTGGGTTCAATCCCCAGCACCACCACCACCCCCCCCAAAAAAAGGAAAAATATGGAAAACAGTGTGGTGCTCTTCATCTCAAGTTTACCTTGGGCTTGGTAACATGAAGTTTTTTCACCATTAGAATATAGTGCTTCTTCCATATCCCCTGCTCAAAGGGAGTTGGAGAGAAATTGATGTACCAGTTAAACCGTAAGCATTTTAGCATCCAGAGCTGGTCCAGCTCAGCTAAGTTCTTCCAGTGCCAGCTCACCTGGGAAAACAAGGACAATGAGAAACAAAAACAACCAACCTGTTCAGTTTACATTTGCGCTTTCTCTAGCTTAGCTAATTTTTTTTTTTTTTTTTTTTTTGTCATTTTCTTCCAAATCACAGGTTAAATAATTACCTCCTATCAGGAGTGCTTCCTGTCCAGGCAGGAGGATTACTTTTAAAACTAATTCAGACTTAGAATCAGAGTCCACTTGTACTTACTGAGCACTATTAACCATCCTTATAGCAATCTAGGGAGGTAAGTACAATTATAACTCTCATGGCAAAAGAGGAAACTGAGGCTCAAGTAGACTTTGAGACTTCCTAATGGTTCCTGAAGCTCCTAATGAAGGTTACATGAAGGGCCAGGTACAATGGCACAAGCCTGTAATCTCAGCAACCAGGGAGGCTGAAACAAGAGGACTGCAGCCTCTGCTACTCAGGGAGACCCTCAGTAATTCAGCGAGACCCTGTCTGAAAAAATAAAATAAAATAAAAAAAGGACTGGGGATGTAGCTCACCTAAATCTTCATGTGGCAAATAACTTGGAATTTAATGGACAGTTTGCAGGGTGGGGGTGGGGAGAGAAAGCCCTCCATTACTACTCCCCCACCCTGTTTTCCTTAGATCTTCTTTTGACCTAGATACTTGAGTTGTTTTGTGTTTGTTTCCAAGTTGTCTTTTGTTTCCCTCTCTCTCTCTCCTTTCTTCCTCCCACCACCCAAAGGCAGAAAGAAATGAGGAGAGTCAAAAGGTAGGAGCTTTGGGCTGGGGTGGTGGCTCATGGGTAGAGCACTTGCCTAGCACTGGCTCGATTCTCAGCACCACATATAAATAAATAAATAAAATAAAGATCCATTGACAACTTAAAAAAAAAAATGTAGGAGCTTTCAAAACTATCAAGACCCATCTCTCCATCACATAGCCCAGCCCCATCTTTTTAAAACAGCTCAAAGCTCATTTTGGTGCAATGACTATCTTTTACTTTAAATCTAGCTGAAGGACAATGTTGTGTGTTAGTAGGGGAATAAAATACACTGAGATCTTGCAAGATAGGCATATAGTGCATGGAGACAAGAGGATCAGCTAATCCAAATAGCATTTCCTCTATTGATAATGCTTTCTTTGTGGGAAACTTGGAAAATTCTGAGAAGCTTAAAGAAAAGCAACACCTATGGTGCCATGAGTCAGAGACTATCATTATTAACAACCTAGTAGAATTTTTTCCCTTTCAGTTTTTTTTTTTTTTTGAGGCATGATGAACAAAACTTGGAAATTCTCCATATACAATTTGTTTTCTTTATTTAAAATATCACGGCATCTCTGTTCTTTTATGACATTTTTTTCTAATGCTGCGTAATAGTTCATCATGTGGCTGTATGATGTCCTTTGTTCTTAGACATTTAGATTGCTATGCTTGAGTTGGGCATGGTGGTACACACCTGTAATCCCAGCAACTCAAGAGGCTGAGAGGATAGGAAGTAGGAGGCCAGCCTCAGCAATTCAGAGAGGCTCTAACCCTGTGTCAGAAATAAAAAAATAAAAAGGGCTGGGGATATGCTCAGTGGTCAAGAGCTTCCTGGGTTCCATTTCCAGTACCAAAAAAAAAAAAAACAATTGCTATGCTCTTTTTAAAAAATTATTTCATTTTAGAATAGGTTTTGTGTGTACAGTAATACCAAACCCAAAGATACAAACGGACACAGAGTGAAAAGTCAGTGTCTCACACATCCCTGTCCTCCAGCCACTCATTCTCAGCCCTGGATTTAACCACTGTAGACAGTTGTTTTATGTTGTTGTAGAAATAGTTTAGGCACATATAAACAGATATCTATACTTTTTCTTTCCAAAATGGCAGAACTAACAGCTGTGCTTCCCCATCCCCCGCCCCCCTTTTTTTTGCTGATAACCTACCTTGGAGATCATTGCAACTTATTTACCCAGTGCCCCACTGGTGGGCCTTTCTGTTGATTCCAGCCTTTTGCTATGACAAACAATGCCACAATGGTATTTAAACAGAAATGATTTTCATACATGTTGAAGCACACCCATCAGACAAAGTCCACGAAGTGGAACTGGTAGGATAAAAGGAATTTTATTTTATTTTTAATATTTATTTTTCAGTTTTTGGTGGACACAACATCTTTATTTTATGTGGTGCTGAGGATGGAAACCAGCGTCCCGTGCATGCCAGGTGAGCGCATTACCGCTTGAGCCACATCACAGCCCCAGGAATTTTATTTTTAAAATATAATACTAGCAGGTTGTTCTCCATTGTACCACTGGACACTGTACCATTTTATCGACACACAATATATAAAATACTTGTTTTCTCACACCCTTACTAATATAGAATATTATTTAAAAAAGTAAAGCTCAGCCAATCTGAGTGATGAAAATGGCCTGTCATAATGAGGCTCAGCATCCCACCTACGGCAGAGACATCTGCATTTCTTTATATATTTTTGGTAGAAGAGTTTTAAAAAATTTTATTGGTGCATTATAATTATGCATCATACTGGGATTCATTGTGCCATATTGTACAGGCATATTACATAATTTGATCAATCTCATTTCCTGGTAACTTTCCTTTCCCTCTCCTCCTTCCTCCCCATACGCTTACTTAACTGATCCTGTCTAGTATTGTTATCATTATTTTAATTAGTGCATTACACACATACACACACACACACACACGTGACTTCTTGTGGTGTATCTGTACACAGACATATTGCACTTGTAATTTGGTAGACTTCATTCCCTAGTTCTTCCCCCAGCCCTCCCCTTCTTCCTCCCTCTCCATCCCCTTCCTCTCCTCTACTGGTGCATTTATTTTGCTGTGAACCACTTGATGATTTTTCTTTGCTCATTTTTCTTCTGCTGGGTGGTTACTCTTTTTTTTTTCCTTTAATACAGACTTATAGGAATTTTTTTTTCAATACTGAGGATTGAACCCAGGGCCTCACTGAGCTACATTCCCAACCCTTTTTAAAGTTTTACTTTGAGACATGGAACTCACCATCCTCCTGCCTCAGCTGGGATTACAGGTGTGTGCCACCAACCCAGCAATTGGTAGGAATTCTTTTAAAAAATAAGAAATTAGCTTTATTTGCAGTAAATTTTATAGCCACAATTTAAAGTCTTGCTTTTTCCATTCCTGTTTACAACATAAAATGCATAAAGCAAGACTGAAGCAGACATTTCCTTAAGGCCTCTGGACATTATAGAATACTCACAAAGGCCTCCTTCCAGGTGTTTTCTCTGAGTACTGGAATGGTTTCCTTTGGTGTCATATAAATCTTTTATTCTATTGGTTTTCTAGATCCTGCCCAAGTGTCTCAACACTATTTATTGAATAATACATCTTTCTTGATGTATTATTCATCAAGATTAAGATTTATATTCTTAATTTTAAGAACTAAAATTAACATATTACACATCTATGAGTGAATAGTAGTAGGTACTTTCTAGTTTTACTAAACTCTATGAAAAGGCTCAACAAATAACTGTCCATTTTACATCTTAATTAATTTAACTTTGCTTTAATACACTATGGAATTACCTGCAAGAAAATGATGGCCAGCTCCTTTTCCAAGGCTTCTGTGAGCACACTTGCCCACTCGGGTCTCTTTGAGTCTCATACTCTGTTTTTTTTTTTTTTTTTTTTACTGGGGATTGAACCTGGGGGCACTCAACCACTCAGCCACATCTCCAGCCCTTTTTATATTTTATTTAGAGACAGAGTCTCACTGAGTTGCTTAGCACTTGCTAAGTTGCTAAGGCTGGCTTTGAACTTGTGATCCTCCAGAATCAGCCTCTTAAGCCTATGAGATCCAGGCACGTGCCACTGTGCCTGGCAGTCTCATACTCTTTTGTCTTATCTCACGAGCACCTTATTTTGCACTTTTATCTTCATGGATGGCCTTCAATATACAATTTAGGATTTTATTATAGTTGTATACTGTGGATTAAAAGACTTTCCTGTTGAGAGACCATTTCTTAGATGTGTATGTATCTCCCCAACTATACTTTTTTTTTAAATGTGATTTTTTTATAACTTTGTTTTACTTTTTGTGTGTATATGGTCTGAGAATCCAACCCAATGCCTCATACCTGCTAGGCAAGCACTCTACCACTGAGCCACAACCCCAGCCCCCCTACCTGATACTTTTTTGTGGACACTAATGGTGACTTATACTTTGTTCTCTATTTTGAGCACTAAATACAGAGTTGGACTCAAATAAGGCAGAGGATCATGCAAACTATAAAGACTAAGCATCTAGGGGCTGTAGCTATAGCTCAGTGGTAAACTGTTTGCCTCACATGTGCAAGGCCCTGGGTTCGATCCTCAGCACCACATAAAAGTAAATAAATAAAATAAAGGTATTGTGTCCAACTACAACTAAATAAATATATATATATATATATATATATATATATATATATATATAGACTAAGCATCTGTTGCTTGTTTTTGTTTTTTTCCCCCCTTGGTACCAGGGATTGAACCCAGGGCACTTAGCCAATGAACCACATCTCTAGCCCTTTTTATTTTTTATTTTGAGACAGGGTCTCACTAAATTGCTTAGGGCCTCATTAAGTTGCTGATGCTGGCCTTGAACTTGCAATCCTTCTGGCCCAGCCTCCCAAGTGGCTGGAATTATAGGCATGTGCCACCACACCCAGCTTGTGGCTTGGTTCTATGCGTGTGTGTACATGTGGGTTTCGTCCTTAAGTTATTCTAGTTTTAGAGCCTCTAGAGGCTAACGTTAGAAAATGCCGTCTGCCATTTCTTTGCCTTTACCTGTGCACAACGACAAAGGCTCCGGGGGTCAAGGAAGGAAAAGATATATATGGATAACACCCTAGGAAGCTTGGTGGTGAAGTCCAGGGCTTCTGCTGGAATTTTTTCCTGAAGCTTTCGACAGCAGAACTTTTGTTGTGACAGCGAGCAGCGTTCCAACAGACCTGTGAGGATTCTTCTCCGCTGAGAGTCTGTCCATTTGTCAAACTGGAAAAACAAAATGTACATGGAAACCTCCCAATTTGGTCTGATAGTAGATCTTTATTATGAGGAAGAAATGAGAGTGGCATAGAAGGTGAGCTTAGTCATTCACTTCCCATGTATATCATGTATTTCTTCCCAGGTCAATAAATTCCATGTTTGCCACCGACCTGTTCTTTCCCACATTTATATATATGACCACGTGCATGGCCAGCATGTGTACTCAGAAGTGCTCCTCAGCCCTTGAATTGCATAAGGATAGTAAGCTAACCGTGTGCAGAAGCTGAAACAATATATACGTATAAAATACAATTCCAAGGAAAGGTGCCTGGGCAGCTTCTCTCCCTCCAAATAATTCCTACATTAGCTCATCAGTGCTTAAAACTCCAGGACCAGAAACAAACCCTTGAAATCACAATTAGAGATAAGGTATAACAGGCCAAGAGCCCTGGTGAGTGGAGTATGTTGGGTTAAATTCTCACTAATGTGTGAATTAACTGATATGGTTGGAGAGTAAAGGTAGGGCCTGGAACAAAGAGTACCGAGGGGAAAAACCAAAGAATCCAGAGATTACCCTAAACCAGTCCCAAGGCCAGCAGTGGACCAAGATGAGAACATGGGAATTACTGAAAACCAAAAGAAAGGCTCTGAGGGAAGAGCATCCACCAGCTGAGGGACCACTTCACTCAAAGTCTGAACCTCTCTTTTCTTTTCTAACTCACTGCAGAAGAGAAAATTGGGAAGTTGGGCTAGTTGAATCTTTGCATATCATTATATTTCACATATAGATATTTAGCAGTTATCTTCTTATAAATATTTTTAGTTGTGGATAGACACGATAACTTTTTATTTATTTATTTTTACAAAGCCAGTGCCTCACACTTGCTAGGCAAGCAGCTCTACCACTGAGCTACAGCCCCAGCAGTTATCTTTAGTCTGACATTATAATGACTTTGAGTTGTAATCATATAATATACTGCCTTACCTAAAAGGGCATATAAGGCAAAAGTTTATTTTCTCAAGGCTTATGAAAAATCAACTTCATTATAGCTATATGATTTATTTTGATAATTGGTAGGAATACTTCTTGATTAAAACTATTTGCTATTAGAGATCTGTTCAGTGACCCACGAATCTCACTTTGGAGATTATAATTCAAAGATGGGGGAAAAAAAACCTTGAATAAAATGAGAAAATGAGAGCCTCACTACAAATACCACAGGAATAAAACTGATTCATGTGTGCAGTGTTCCCTGTTTCTGCACAACCCATATCTCCACCTCCCACTAAGGGAGACTTCTTTCCAGGTCTTTTGGGATGGATTCTTACAGAAATAAATGGAGAGATACCAGACCAGAAGGGCTGGGGCCAGGGAAGGAAGGAGAAGCTGAACTGATCTATAATAAGAGAGCCAAGGGGGAGGTGTGAGGAGATAGAAGCAGAGCTACGAGGCTTTGGCTTGATGGGAATTATGGGGATCATAGCAGCTTTGATAGTATCTATAGTAGTTACTAGGGGAGTATCAGGGACCGAGAAGCAGACTTGACAAGGATTATAGTGAGTCGTTTTTCTTGTGTGTGTGGTGCTGGGGATTGAACCCAGGACCTTGTGCATGCAAGGCAAGCACTTTACCAACTGAACTATATCCCCAATCCTTGCCATGAGTTTTGAACTGGACCTATGCTTTTTCTTTGGGAGGCAAAATGAAGATTGAAACTAACTTTTTTTAAAATTACTTTTAGGCAGTGCTATGTGACTCCATAGAGACTGACCATGTGAGGACCTAGGATGGTCAGAATTACAAAAAAAAAATTTCATGAGATAATTACTATCACTGCAAGAAATCAGCGATAACTCAAACGCCAGACAAAAGGGGACCAGCTAAACAAACTGTGCAACATGAGAGGAGGGAGTATAACATTATGGTGGGCTTGGAGGTAAGTGAAGGGGGCTTGGGAGTGTGAAAATACAGGAAAAGCCCAATTAAAAGCTTTCCAAAGTGAAAGAATTTTCAGAAGAGATTCAGAGGACCTTGAATAAGTCAGGACTTCTACATGTCGGAAGGTATCATTTGGAACATCAACTATGGGCCCCTCAACTTTTGATAGCAAAAAGCTGTGCCCAGAAACCCTAGCTACATAGCCAGAGGTCACTGGACTCTGGTTTTATGGAATTCCTGTTTGGTTTATGCACTTATTTATTTATTTGTTTGTTTGTTTATTAATACTGGGGATTTAACCTAGGGGCGCTTTACCACTGATGTGTATTCCCCAGCCCTTTAAATTCTTTTTTTTTTAAGAGAGAGAGAGAGAGAGAGAGAGAGAATTTTTTAATATTTATTTTTTAGTTTTCGGCGGACACAACATCTTTGTTTGTATGTGGTGCTGAGGATCGAACCCGGGCCGCACGCATGCCAGGCAAGCGCGCTACCGCTTGAGCCACATCCCCAGCCCCCTTTAAATTCTTTTGATTACTTATTTTAATTTTGAGATAGGGCCTTGCTTAATTGCTGAGGCTGCCTTAGGCTCCCACAAGGCTGAGATTACAGAGGCACCAAGCCATGCTTCCTTTATCTACCTGTCACAGCTTGGTCACGTAGCCCTCGCATTGTGTGTGTGTGTGTGTGTGTCTGTGTGTGTGAATTTGTCGTCATTGAGGTATTCGACACAGGCTGGGAAACATCACCTTGGGTATTCCCTTGCATTCTTGTTCAATTTCAATAAGCATTCCTCTTTTTCTCTCCTTTTTTGAGATGGGGGCGGGGGTCTCACTATGTTGGCCTCAAGTGATTCTCCCACTCTCTGGAGCAGCTGGAACTGCAGATTTGCACTGTGACCAGATCAACAGGAGTTGCTCTTTAAATGATTTTAATTACTTTGTCATAGATTCAAGAGTTTTCCATCCATATCAGCTCTTACTTCCCCACCTCCTTCAGAACACTGATTCACAGCTATATGAACCCATGACTCCTGAATTGCAATTCTTAAGACTCTAAACCAAGTTATTTTTTTTTAATATTTATTTTTTAATTGTAGTTGGACACAATATCTTTATTTCACTTATTTATTTTTATGTGGTGCTGAGGATGGAACCCAGGGTCTTGCACGTGCAAGGTGAGCACTCTACTGCTGAGCTACAACCCCAGCCCTAAACCAAGTTCTTTTAGTTTCTAAGTTTGCATTGATTGACAAGAGAGAACACTGGGTGTCTCGCTCTTAATTTATATTACTCCCTAATACTCACTAGAAATATTTCAGTCTAAATTTCCTCATTTATACATTAAGAATAATTATAGCTAAATAAAGGGCTATCGTGAGGATTATTTCAAAACAGTGCATGAGTCACTGTAGGTGACAGCTACAGTGGTGTGGTGTGCCAGAGTGGTGTAAAGATACAATGTAAAAAGAAGACATATATAGAGTATTGATTTAACATTCGAGCAGCCATTTTAAATGTCACCCTCCACTTAAGCTTTGCTTTCCTGTACTTCCTCTTACAGGAACTCCTCTCAACCCCATTAGTGACCTACCCCATGGTACCATAACCCTAAGCCAATCCCAGAAGGACACGACCCCTTTGCTCTGGAAAACCTCAAGGTGCCATCCACCTAAGCCAATCCCATGCTATTCCCACCCTCCTAGCTCTCACTTAAGCACCCCGAGCCTATCCCATCGCCACAGCTACACCTCCAAGCCCCTACCCTACAAAAGCTGAGCACCTGAACATAACATCTCAGGGCCTCTCTCCTCTCTATAGACAAATAAACCTTTGTGTGGCTGTCTGCCTGGTCTCCTTCCTTCATTTCTCCGGATGATTGAGGTTTGCTTGTCTGCTTTCCTTGGTGCCCACGTTGGAGGATGAGTTCAGGTTATGGAAGCAGTGATTTTAAATGACTATAACAGAACATTAGGCTTATAAAATGTGTACTGAAAAAAAATCTATTAAAAATGTGAACACTTTGCTCTAGAGATTAAAAAGATAATCACACTGGTTCCTCATTTATTTCCCTGGTGACAATGGTCAAACATCATTTAAATTTGGTTTTGATAGGTGTTCTTTGCCTCGAGGGTTAGTCCTTTCTAATTGTGTTTGTTTAGGTTAATAGAAAACTAATTTGCATTCCTTGAACTCCTACCATTCAAGGTAGGTAGGTGACTCAAGAATGCTTAACAGTAGGGGAGATCTGTTTGGGTTTTAGAAGGTGCTTGGAATAATCCAAAAATTAGGTAGTCCTTGGCAGAGCTGATTGTATAGGCATCTGATGACCTCCCACAGTTCTTGCATCTCTCTTCCAGTAAAAACACCCACAACAGGAAAGCAGGCGTGAGTCTCCCCTTCTAGCATCTTCTACTGCGCCTCCCTTCAGATGTACTCCTAAAGAATGCTATTTTACAGGGCTTCCCTCCACTCGCTAGAACTGTGAACCTGCTATTTTTAGAGCAGCTGTTACAGGATTCTTGCTGCAGATCAAGGGGTGAAGAGTTGCTGGGGCTGTCGTCCCATCCATCTCACCCTGGAAGGCAAGGATGTGGCGGGGGAGGGAGCCGAGTGAAGGGGGGGGGGTTGTTTTTTGGGGGGTTTTGGTTAGACTATCTTACTCTGGTTGAGTTTCCGAGTCCTATTATAAAAAATTCAATCCCACAATTAAAGTATAAAAATGTTTGTGTTTTTAAAGTTTCAAACAGGTTTGGTAAAATCAAACATAAAACTTGTAAACACGTCTCTTCATCAAATCTCACTTCATTCCCCAGACATAACGAGCTTTCAGAAGTTTGATATCCATGCCTTTTTATGTATTCTCTCTCTCTCTCTCTCTCTCTCTCACACACACACACACACACACACACACACACACACACACCACTCAATGAAGAAGCAGTTAGCTGGGCATGATGCATGCCTGTAATCCTAGCTACTTCAGAGGCTGAGGCAGGAGGATCACAGGTTCAGAGCCAGCATCAGCAATTTAATGGGGCTCTAAGAAACTTAGAAAGACCTGTCTCAAA